CCTCAGATGCACTGAAATCACATCGGACAATCACAGCATATTCCAGCGAGCCGTGTGGACTTGACCTGGCCCTCCTCTTCTGTCAGGAAACGAATTGCATTTTCTTTTATACCTTAACTGAGCCTACTCACATACACCCACAAATACATTATTATATGTACACAGACATTGTTGCAGAACCATGACTGGAGGTTATTTGTATTGTGCTATCGTGCTATCTTTGAAATCTTGTTTGGAAATATCATTAAACTGGTTTTACATAGATCTGTCAGACAGAGACTTTGTCTGCCAAAAGCTAAACTCTTACTCAGTCATGTAGAAAAAAAAGAGAGATTAATATCAAACTAGTCAACATTACAAGCAAGCAAAAACAAATACTGGAGTTTGGACATCTGAAGATCAGATCTCCTTCACCCAAAGCCACCATTATTAATGAAATGATTACAGATCATGTTGATGATGAGCTGACAGACTCTGAGGCTCTGAGATCTGTGCTGCGTTAAAAAAAAAAACAATGTAAGCCTACGTTGATTGTAGCTCCATTGGTTTCAATGGGTCTACGTGTACTTAAGCTTACGATGCTTTTGGGAAACGCAGCCCTGATTGTTTTTCATGAACACATATTGGTTGTATAGGCCTGGAAACTTGTCATAAACCTGGGATTTTCCATGCTTTGAAGCAAGTTTAAAGTTTGTCCAGCTGTTATCAGAGCAGCATGCAACATCTCAAACCTGCTCACACACCTTAAAGCATGCAGGAAAGAAAAATACATAATGAGATATTTTTAATACATCAACTGACACTCTTTCACAGATCATCAACTTTGCCTCAGATGTTTCTCCTGAAATTCTACAGTAGAATTAAAAACAGACACAAAAGAGTCAAAAGTTGTCCATCAGTTGAGCTTTAAAATGAATGATTTGATGAGAAATGTTTAAGTTCATAATGAGATCTCTGGCAAATATAAAACATTGTCGAGATCTCTTCTAAAAGAGGGCATGTGAAATGACTGGAGTGTTTTTCTCAGATCTGAGAAGCAGGAAACTCTAAGGCTTTGAAAGTTTTGAACACACTGTCATGTCAGACATGCAGTGCATTCAGACCAGGGTTAAACTGTATTCTCAGGACAAGAGGTGTGTTCACGAATGTCAAATTGAGACAAGTTGTCACACATTTATTATGTGTTCAATTTTATGCATTCATTATTGTATTGCTAAATCAATAGTTTGTTTTGTTTTACAATTTGCAGTATTACTTTGGCAAACAATTCATATTAGTGATGTTAGGTTCTTGAACGAATCGTTCTTTTGAGCTGGTTCTCAGGAAGTAACCGGTCGAGCCGGTTCACAAATCAACCTGAATCGAACTTTAGTTCCGGGTTGATGACGCAAAGCCCGAAGTAGCACGTCCAACTCAAAAAGAACCGATTTAGCCGGTTCAACCAACTGTCGGAGTTTGCAGAGGATTACCGAAGATTCTGATGAGTGAGTTGACGATACTGTGCAAGCCTGAGGAACGTACTGGAAATGCTTATTATGACTGTTATTAATTTACGTTTTATTAAAACCTGCAAAAACCTTTCTGTCGAGTGATGTAAATAAATTTTTCTATAGTTTACTGTGCATGCATATTATATTTAAAGTTGCTTAAGCAAAATCAAGGAGTTTATAAGACTTTATTCATTATAAGGTTTATTCATTCTTTATACTGTAGACATGTCATATCCGCGTTTGTGCATCAATGTCTGTAATGTGTGCTGTAGGTGAGAAACTTTTAAGAATCTTATCCAAGTTGTAGGCTAGTCAATATTGATCAGTCGTATCTGACATAAAGGATCCGCGAATGAAACTGACCAACACCATTAACTTAAGCAAATTATATGGTAATAATCAGCAATAGGCTTTCACACAAATAACTTTATTTTTTGAATGTTTTAATATGTGTTGACACAAAAAACTTATTTGAATTTTTCATTGATACAACATGGCACTGAGTTGCTAGAAAAGAAATGCGCAGAGACGTTATTGCTTAATGACGTCAGGAACCGATGAATCGGCTTTTTGAACCGGTTCAACGAACTGATCTGTCCGAAAAGTACCGGTTCGCGGAAATGAATCAGACTTTGCATCACTAATTCGTATACAAAACACTCTAATGAGCTGATAGAGGAGGGTTGAGTTGATTAGTGCAAACAGGTGATACTGGTTACTGAGAGTCTTTAAAAACCCTCCATTCCAGTCGCTTCAGTTAAAGAGAAAGAACTGTGTGTATGATGATGGAATGAGTGTGACTGCTGAGAGAGGGGTTCGGAGGATAAAAAAAGATAAGATGAAAAATGTTTCCATTTAAGATGTTTTGGAGGAAAGGAGAGAGACTCTTTTGCTCTTATGGGATTTATTGTTCTCGCTTGAGGATCTATAGTGGACTTTTGATGTGTTTTTGAGATGCGTTCATTTGCAAACACCCAAAACCAATACTGAATATCAAACTAAATAACTGTATGTCAAACGTGCCTCCTTTCCTCTTGAGGTGACACAGCTGAGAGGGTCGTGGAACCTGCTTTTACATGTTTGATCACATAAACCATGTATTCATGTTTTATTATTATTATTATTATTATTAATATTATTATTATTATTATT